TCTCTCTCTCTCTCTCTCTCTCTCTCTCTCTCTCTCTCTCTCTCTCCTCTCCCTCTCCCTCTCCCTCTCTCCCTCCCTCTCCTCCCCTCCCTCCCCCTCCCTCCCTCCCTCCCCTCTCCTTCCTCGCACACGCACCTCACACACACACACACGCACCACACGCACACACGCACACACGCACACACACACGCACACACACCAGAGGCCGGTCACGTCACATTCGTAATATGCAGGAGATGAGCATAATACACGATGACGTCACGGCGGAGGAATGCGCTTCTTGCTAGTGATGTAACGAAGGAGGAACGCAGGGAGAGAGAGAAGAGAGAGAGAGAGAAAGAGAAGAGAGAAGAGAGAGAGAGAGAGAGAGAGAAGAGAGAGAGAGAGAGAGAGAGAGAGAGAGAGAGAGGATATAGAAGTAGAGAAAGAAAAGAGGGGAGAGGAGTAGAGAGAGAAGAGAGGAGAAAGAAAGGAGTGGGAGGGAGGAGAGGGAAAGAGAGAGAGAGAGAGAGTGAAAGAAGGAGAGGGAGGGAGGGAGGAGAGAAAGAGGCTGAAACACAGGAGGAAGAGGAGAGAGAGAGAGAAAGAGGCTGAAAAACAGGAGGGAGAGAAAGAGAGAGGCAGAGGAAGAGAAAGAGAAAGAGAGAGGGACAGAAAGAGAATGTGAGAAGAAGGAAAGAGTTAAGAAGAGAGCAGGGGCGAGAGAGGGAAAGAGAGGACAGAAAGAGGCAAAGAAAAGGAGAGAGAGAGAAAAAAAGGAGAAAGTATACCCGAAATCGCCACCATGGGGAGGGGGAGTGGGAGTGGGGGGGGAGGGAGACTGGCCTTTCATGGTAGGTTCATGTCTCTCTAGAGGGTAGGCGGAGACGGCAGTGAAAGAAGGAAGGAATGAGGAAAGTGAAGGAAAGTGGAAAGAAGGAAGGAAAAGGAAGGAAAATGAAAGGGAAATAAAAAAGTGAAAAGAAGGAAAAGGAAGTAAAAAAGGAATGAAGGAAAGTGAAAGAAGGAAGGGAATGAAGAAAGTGAAAGAAGAAGAATGAAGGAAAGTGAAGAAGGAAGGAATGAAAATAAAGGGAAGGGAAAAGGAAGGGAAGGAAAGTGAAAAAGAAGGAAATAAGGAAAGTGAAAGAAGGGGTAAATAAAGGAAAGGGAAAGTAAGGGAAAAAAAGGAAAGGGGAAAGAAGGAAGGGAATGAAGGAAAATGGGGAAGAAAGGGAGGGAAAAAGGAAAATGAAAGAAGGAAAGAATGAAAAAGTGAAAGAAGGAAGGAAGTAAAGGAAAGTGGAAGAAGGGAAGGAAATAAAGGAAAGTGAAAGAAGGAAGGGAGTAAAGGAAAGGGAAAGAAGGAAGGAAATAAGAGAAAATGAAAGAAGGAAGGAAATAAAGGAAAGTGGAAGAAGGAAGGAAATGAAGGAAAGTAAATGGAAAGGGAAAGAAGGAAGGGAATGAAGGAAAGGGAAAGAAGGGAAAGAAAAGGGAATGAAGGAAAGGGAAAGGGAGGGAAATAAAAGGAAAATGAAGGAAAGGAAGAAGAAGGAATAAAGGAAAGTGGAAGAGGAGATTGAAAGGACAGGAGGAAGGGTAAAGGGACATGCGAAAGAGAGGGATGAAGGGAACGGGATAAAGAAAAGGAAGAGGGGAAAGAAAGAAAGAAGGAGAATAGGAGAAGGGAAGGAAGATAAAAATCAGAGGTAAGAATAGGGAGAGAGGAAAGGAAAGAAGTAAAGAGAACGAGAAAGGAAAGAAATAAAGAAGAGAAAGAAAGAAAAAAGACGAGAGAAAAGAAGTAAAGAGGACGAAAAGGAAAGAAAGAAGAAGAAAGAATTAAGAAAAAGACGAAGAAACAGGAAAGAAGGGAGAGAACAGAATGGAAAGAAATAAACGAAGAGTAATGAAAAACTGATAAAGGAAAAAAAACGAGAAAAAAGGAAAATGATAAAAAAAAAAGTCGAGAAAAAGAAATTTAAAAAGGCGTGTCAGCTGTTTTTTATTTATTTACTTTTACTCCAATTCCCAGAACGGCCTAAGAACGAGAGTTTATTATGGAGATTAAACACCCTGACGACTACAAATATTTTGTTTTAGGATCAAATGAACATGACTTGGATTTTGCTTCACGTAATCCCAAAGTTCAAAGAAGCGGAGGATTAGTTAGATTAGTGAAAGAAGTCTGGATTATAAAACCAAATCTGTCAGTTTTATTAATTTTTCTTGATCTTAAGAATATACAGCACGCTAGATTAGTTTAAAAAGTCTGGATTATAAAACCAAATCTGTCAGTTTATTAATTTTCTTGATCTTAAGAATATACAGCAACGCTTTAGATTAGTTTAAAAAAGTTGGATTAATAAAACCAACTTGTCAGTTTATTAATTTTCTTGATCTTAAGAATATACAGCAACGCTTTAGATTAGTTTAAAAAGTCTGGATTATAAAACCAACTCGAATTTTATAATTTCTTCTGTTATCTTAAGAATATAACAGCACGCTCCATTTAGATTAAGTTTTAAATGAGTCCTCTATAAAAACAACTTTGTCAATTTTATTCAATTTTTCCTTCTTTTGATATACGCAACGGCAGATTTTTTTAGATTTAGATTGAAAGATTAGCCTGGATTATAAAAACTACTCACAGCAACGCTTTAGATTAGTGAAAGAAGCCTGGATTATAAAACCAACTCTCAGTTTAACAATTTTCTTGATCTTAAGAATATACAGATAGATTACGTGGAAATATATTCGGATAATTATTGCGGTATAGCCTACACACTAAAAAATATATATAGGGAGTGATTTTGTTTTAAATTCGTAAGGTTTAAAGTAGTTATTTGTTGACTTGAAAGAAATGTACTGTATCTCTTACAATATTTTCGAAATACTTCTAATATTCTAAAAAGGTGTATGTATGTGTATATGATCTGTATACACTCACATGCAGCCGTATACATTAATAAACAAGATAATTTTAATATCCTATTTTTAGTAAAAGGATGATAATGATAATGATAAAATTTGATGATGTTTAGAATGCTGTGTTACTTTAGCGTTAAATGATAATGATTATTATGGTATATTAAGAGAGAAAGGGGAAGAAAGAGAAGAGGGAGAAAGGAAGGAAAGATGCAAGAAGAGAGCAGGGGCGAGAGAGGGAAAGAGAAGACACAAAGGACCAAAGAAAAGGAGATAATGGTAAGATATATGATTAAGAAAAGTACTTAGAGTCGTAATGAACTAATTATTGCATTTGTAGAGTTACCAAGAAACGATAACAGTAAGATTATAATAGTACATCAGTATACGAACATTATAAAAGCTGCAAGGAATTTTAAGCAAAATTCTTTGATCTTCACAATGGCCAGTACTATTTACCCCCCCCCCCCTAAAAAAAAAAAAAAAAAGAAAGAAAGAAAGAAGAAAAAAAGAGATAAAACAGTGCAGATTTCTTCTTTTTTTCCTTTTTCTCTTTCCTGCAAAAGAATCTCGAAGAAGTCTCGTCGTCAATCAGTTAACCGACGTTCGAAACAAGGAGGAATTCACATCAACAGGATCTCGGTTGTTGACTGATGACGTCACGAGAGCTAAGAGAACGTCTTGTCTGGGGTTGTGGGGCGCGAGGGCGGGGCGGCTGGGTTGTGGGTTGTCAGCGGAATTGTAGATATGATTTGCGAGCGGTTTTATTTGAGAGGGTTGTTAGTCCGGGGAAAACCACGAGGGATTTGTTGTCTGGATAGGTGTTGTGTTATTGTTATGAACAGTTTATGGTCATTATTGCAACAGGAACAACGAAGGGAAGGGCAAGAAAAACACGAATATGCCGAGGCTTTTTCGCTATTGCTTCGTCAGGGCATATGGAATTGCGAAAAGGCCTGCGGCATATTCGTGTGTTTTCTTGTTCTTCCCTTCGTTGTTCCTGTTGCAATCTGTTCATCATGAATTCCACACTTGATCATTATTATTTGGGTTTTTATAGTGGGGGTGGTTGCTGTGGGCCAGGATTGATAGATAGATAGGTAAATAGTTGATTTATGTAATTATTATGCTATTTCTGTTTTTTTTTTTTTTTTTTTTTCTCGTTAGGTATATTGCTTAAGTGATTTTTTTTTTTTTGTTTGGGGGGGGGGAGGGGCATAGGTGTCATTTACACATTCTGACAAATATTTCTGTAATTATATGGCTTTCCATATCACGTAAATCAATTGGAAGTCAGTAGCAGGAAAACAGATATTTGGTTATCAAATCTGCTTTGATAAAGTCCATGTGCCCATTATTAATAAGCAAAAGTAAATTACGGCAGAAATGACTTACACTTACGAGTGTGAAATAAAAGGAAAATATTCTCTTATTATTATAAGTCACATCTACTACAAGCAGTTCATCGGAAAGAATTTTTGATTTAATCTTCCACTGTATGTTGGTTTGTTTGTTTTTGTGTGTGTTATATCTGATAACTGATGATGAGGTAAATTACCCGAAACGTTCGATGCCAGTGAAGAGGGATCTACTTTTCCTACTTTGCAGCCTGTTCCTAAGGACAGCCCTGACTGATATGTAGTGTGTGCGTGTGTGTGTGTGTGTGTGTGTGTGTGTGTGTGTGTGTGTGTGTGTGTGTGTGTGTGTGTGAGAGAGAGAGAGAGAGAGAGAGAGAGAGAGAGAGAGTGTGTGTGTGTGGTGTGTGAGAGAGAGAGAGAGAGAGATGTGTGTTGTGTGTGTGTGTGAGAGAGAGAGAGAGAGAGAGAGAGAGAGAGCGGAATACATTGTTTGGAACCAGTCACAATGTTCCTTCGAAAATGTGCACAAGAATTTGATGTCGAATAACACGTACACGTATATATGCTCGTATCAATTGCTTCAATGTACGAATAGAATAAGTACGTCTATCTACATAAATCAATTTCAACGAGAAAAAAAAACCCTCAATCATCATTATCCACAAAATACATCCAAATACTTCATAAACCACCCAAAAACTAACTGCCTATTCGTTCTGCTCTTTTCGTCAGGATTCGAACGTACCCGACCAATATAAGGGACAAGACCGGCCAGCCGAATCACCTGACCAGATGGGAGATCCAGAGGGAGTTCAGACTCGCTACGGAGGTAAGGCGATCGGATCCCATATACGTTCCTTGCTCGACCCTCTTTTGTTTTTTTTTGTGTTTATTGTTGGCGTTGTAGGAGCTTGCTATTGGTGGTGTTGTAGGTATTGGTGTTATTATTATTTATTATTTATTATTATAGTTTTTGGTGTTATATTGTTATTATTATTATAGTTATATTATATTGTTATTATTTTTTTATTATTATTATTGCTATTGCTATTAATATTGCTATTGTTATTGAAATTATTAGGATATTTATGAAAATAATAGTTATTATTATTTTTATTATTATTATTGTTATTATTGTTATTGTTTTATTGTTATGTTATTGTTATTGTTATTGTTATTATTGTTATTGTTATTATTATTATTATTATTATTATTATTATTATTATCATCATTATTATTATTATTATTTGAGGGGAAAACGCGCTTGACAGATTGATGACGATTGGTGACAGGCTGACAGGTTGGTAATTATAATTATTAGATGATTGAAAGGTTTGTGATGATGATCATTAAATAATTGCCGGGTTGGTGATGATAATGATGAGATAATTGGTAGGTTGGTGGTGATTATAATTAGATAATTGGCGGGTTGGTGGTGGTGATACTACGATGTCATTCGGACAAGTTCTCAAGTGCATTTTCGCCTCAAAGGATAAATAGATTGGAAAGATAGATAAATGGATAAAGGAGGAAATACATAGATAAGTGGATAAAGGAGGAAATACATAGATAAATGGATAAAGGAGGAAATGCATAGATAAATGGATAAAGAAGGAATTACATAGATAGATGGATAAAGAAGGAAATACATAGATAAGTGGATGAAGAAGGAAATACATAGATAAATGGATAAAGAAGGAAATTCACAGATAAATGGATAAAGAAGGAAATACATAGATAAATGGATAAAGGAGGAAATACATAGATAAATGGATAAAGAAGGAAATACAGAGATAAATGGATAAAGGAGGAAATACATAGATAAATGGATTAATACATAGATAAATGGATAAAGGAGGAAATACATAGATAAATGGATAAAGGAGGAAATACAAAGATATATGTATAAAGAAAGAAATTTAGAAAATATCTGCTAGAGTTTGGGTTAGTCTCACTTCTAGAATTATTGTTTGATGTTATTTTCATTCATATTTGTCACACTTTTTTTAACTTTTAGTGTTATAAAGGACAATTTTTTATTTATTTATATATATTTGTACATATGTATAATTGTCGTTCATATCCGAGTCATGTGATAATTGCCAGATTTTTATTACCATCTTGTGAATAAATAATGGTTAGTCTTTTCAATGTACATTTAGTTTTGAGTTTTCAATGTCTCATGAATTAATGAGTCCTGGGTCTGTTCCTATTATTAATAATTAATCATTCTTTATATTCTTTGTAATCATTATTTATATTTCTTTATATTCTTTGTAATCATTATTTATATTCTTTGCTTGTAAAGAACGCATTTTCCGTGTTGTGTTGATATGCTTGGATAATATTACCAATTATTCGAGTAACTTTTGTGATGTATATGATTGATTAATGTGTGTTGCGATTGGCCTCGTCATTTTGTTGATCAACATCTTTTTGTTAATGTGTATGTGTGTGGTTTAAAATGTTTGACTGATGAGTAGTAATGTTTTCTTAGTCGGCAGTATTTCTCTCCCTCCCTCCCCCCTCCTTTCTCCTCTCCCTCTTCTCTCTTCTCTCTTTCTCTTTCTCTTTCTCTTTCTCTCTCTCTCTCTTTCCTCTTTCCCTCTTTCCCTCTCTCTTTCTCTCTCTCTCTCTCTCTCTCTCTCTCTCTCTCTCTCTCTCTCTCTCTCTCTCTCTCTCTCTCTCTCTCTCTCTCTCTCTCTCTCTCTCTCTCTCTCTCTCACTCTCTCTCTCTCTCTCACTCTCTCTCTCTCTCACTCTCTCTCTCTCTCTCTCTCTCTCTCTCTCTCTCTCTCTCTCTCTCTCTCTCTCTCTCTCTCTCTCTCTTCTCTCTCTCTCTCTCTCTCTCTCCCTCTTCTCCCTCTCCCTCTCCCTCTCCCCTCCCTCTCCCTCTCCCTCTCTCTCCTCTCCTCATCCCTCTCCCTCTCCTCTCCCTCTCCCTCCCTCTCCCTCTCCCTCCCTCCCTCCTCCCTCCTCTCCCTCCCTCCCCATCCCTCTCCCTCCCTCCCTCCCTCCCTCCCCATCCTCTCTCCCTCCCTCCCTCTTCTCCTAAGTGGTACACATACCTGATTAATCTTTGCTGTTTTACTATTTCTTTTGTCTTCCTTACAGGTGTGGGATCGTGCCTCCAGACTTGTGTTCTTGGAGTTGGAGCACAATGCAGACCAAGCGGATATTATCATTGATTTCAAACGGTTTGTGATTTCTTTTTTCTTTTTCTTTTTTTCTTTTCTTTTCTTTCGGGACGTTTCTTTAATGTTTTTGTATTTTGGTTTACTTTTTTTTTCAGTTCGTGTAGTTCTGTCTTTTTGTGTTTTTTTAGTTATATTATTATTGTTTTTTGTATTTTTTACACTATTTTTCTTCAATTTGAGAACGATATTTTGTGGATATACTTTGTTTCACCTGAAAACCAGAATTTCTTAGCTCTTTTGTTAGTAATTTCGCTTAATAACCACGGCTGAAGTTGTGGATCATTGCCTGATACTTCTCGAATCCTAACATTCACAATTAAGGATATATCTTTCATCTAAACTTCAGATAATCATTGAACTTCAGCTCCTGAAAGTTAGATGCTCTGACGTAATATATTTCTCCAGTCTTACCAAGAATTCAGAAAGATATTTTCCCATCTGTTGAAATCTCTGAAAAGTTCATATGATTTTCGTACTAAATGTATACCCAATTCATACCAGATCCTCCCCAACCCATCGTACCAAACCTTCCCCAACCTCGAACCAAAACCTCCCCGCATACCTTACCTTCCCCAACCTCGTACCAAAACCTCTCCCCTCGCAGCAAATCCTCATTCACTAAACTCATACCAACACCTTCCCCAACCTCATACAAACCCCCCAACCTCATACCTAAACCCTCTCGCGTACCAAATCCCCACATACCAACCAACCACATACCAAACCCTCCCCACAAACATACCAAAACCCCCAACCTCGTACCTAAATCCTCCATACCCTCATACCAAAATCTTTTATTCGTAACAAACCCTCCCCACCAACATACCAACACCCCCAACCCTCGTACCAAACCTCTCCCCACCCTCATACCAAAAACCTCCTCATACCACCCTCATCCCATACCCATCTCCCCTCATACCAAATCCCACCTCTACCCATCTTCCCTCGTGCCAAACTCATACCAAATCCCTCCTCCCATACCCATCTCCCCTCGTGCCAAACTACCAAATCTCTCATACCCATATACCCATCTCCCTCGTATCATACCAAATCCCTACCCATCTCCCTCATACCATCTCCCCTCGTGCCAAACTCATACCAAATCCACCTCATACCCATCTCCCCTCATACCCATCTCCCCTCGTACCAAACTCATACCCATCTCCCCTCATACCCATCTCCCCTCGTACCAAACTCATACCCATCTCCCCTCGTGCCAAACTCATACCAACCCCCTCCTCCCCCCACAGAGGATACCACGGAGACGGGTACCCCTTCGACGGCCAAGGCAAGACGCTCGCCCATGCCTTCTATCCGGGTGCGGGCGTGGGCGGGGACATGCATTTCGACGACCAGGAGCCGTGGGTGCAGCACAAGGATTCGGATAATAGTAAGTGGTTCGGGTGGAGTTGGTGGAGTGGTGCGTGGTTCGATAGGTGGTTCGGGTGATAGGAAGTGTGGGTGGTTGGGTGGAGTGGGCGTGGTTCGGGGATAGGAAGTGTTGGTGGTTGGGTGGGTGTGTTAGTGGGTGGGCGAGTGGTTCGGGTGATAGGAAGTGGTGGGTGGTTGGGTGGTGGAGTGGGTGGTGGGCGTGGGTTCGGGTGGTTTGGTTGAGTGGTTTAGTGATTGAGTGGGCTTGGTTCGGGTAATAGGAAGTGGTGCGTGGTTCGGCTGAGTGGGTTAGTGGTTCGGGTGGGCGTGGTTCGGGTGATATAGGAAGTGGTGGGTGGTTTGGTCGGGTGGTTGGGTGGTTGATTGGGGGTGTTTTGGGTGATAGAAAGTAGTGGGTGGTTTGGTTGAGTGGTTTAGTGATTGAGTGGGCGTGGTTCGAGTGATAGGAAGTGGTGGGTGGTTTGGTTGAGTGGTTGGTTTTTCGGGTGGGCGTGGTTTAGGTGATAGAAGTGGTGGGTGTTTGGTTGAATGGTTAGTGGTTCGGGTGATAGGAAGTGGTGCGTGGTTAGGCTGAGTGGGTTAGTGGTACGGATAGGAAGTGGTGCGTGGTTCGGCTGAGTGGGTTAGTGGTTCGGGTGGGCGTGGTTCGGGTGATAGGATGTAGTGGGTGGTTTGTTTGAGTGCTTGTGTAGTCGGGTGATGGGTTGACTCGGATGAAAGCTAGTGGTGGCTTAGTTGGTTAGGTGGTTAGTAGGGATTTTTGGATAATAGAAAATAGTGGCTAGTTTGGTTGAGTGGTTAAGTGTTTGGGCGTTTACTAGCGCCTGGTGGGACTAGTTGGTTGTTCGTAATAGCGGTGATTAGCAGCTGTTATTAGTAGTTTGGTAAATTAGTGTTTTGGTGATGTTGTTAATTAGTTAATTAGTTAATTAATAATTTAGTGGTTGAATGTTGCTAGTGAAAGGTAAAAAATGGAGTTTGGGTGGTTGCTAGCTGGTTGGTTAGTGGTTGCTAGTAATTGCCTCGGGTAAGTATGGGTAATAGATAGTTAATGATGATGGACTGTGTTCGTAGTGCTTTTTGAAAGTAATAATAGCTGCATTGTTTTTTTATTTTAACTGAAGTTCTTCGGGTTAATGGTAATAAAATGGTTGTCGTTATTGTTACAGTTATTATTGTTATCATTTTATTATAATTATTACTCTCATTATTATAATTGTCGATATTATCATTATTATTATTATGCTCGAGATTGAGCGTGCTTAATAAGACTTCATCTGTACTACATTTTTTTTCAGTTCTGTAACTTTGTGATGAAGATTATAACTTGCATTTTGTTCGCGCTTGATATATTTTGCGCTTAACAGCAGGATTATATTACATGTTACTGATACAATGCAGCTGAAATTAATTGCCATGAATGATAATGGATGATAGCTTTTGTTGTTTTACTGCGTGTTTGTAGTTTATGCTGACGTAATTATTCTATTCGCGCGGTTGAAAGAGGTCTGGGAATGGTGTGTTGATAAATAATTTGGCTGACTATGGTTTAATCACTGATCCCCTGTTATTTCACATTTTGAAGGATTGGTTTTCTTTTTTTTCTTGTTTTGCATGCTTCTAAACTGTGTGTTTTCCTCGGCAAACTGGTTTAGAGACTTGTGGTAGAACCTCTTTTTCCCAGTGAAATACGTAAACATCGAAAGCCCGGCATTTGGAGGGTCTTGAGATAAAGGGTTAAGCAGAGATATAGCTGCCAGTGTTCAGTCACTCTCAAGAAACACAGACAGACGCTCAAGAGATATTACAAATGAGATATTACAGTCAGAGCTTCATAACTGTTTGGACACTGATACAGACGCACACTTTGCGCACTCGCCAAAAAACACATCAGATGTAGTTTTAAAAAGTCTGCAATAAAAGAAGAAAAAGAAGAGAAAAAGATTCACGCAACAGCATGTTCTTTCATCCCGCAGAATGGTGTGTGCGTTTACATGCAGAGTTTGAAAGTATGTAATCAGGATGGTCGATAACATGGCGGTTGCCGAAGTCAGTTCTCGGGAGTTTTTTCCCTTTGTTTTCAAGTGTCAAAAGCTGAAGGATTGATTGTATTTCTTTATTTTTTATCGGTGATGGTTGTAGCTGCTGACGCTTCTTTTTTTTTTTTTTTTTATGTAAATGTTCCTTAAATATGATATGTGTGTGCGTTCGTGTGCGTGTGTGTTTGCATCTGTTTTGTTAAGCTTCAAGTGTGTTTATAAACATTGAGTGAATTCATTGGACTTCACGGTGGGATGCCCTTGTATCAGACAAATTGTAAAGCTTTTATACACGAGTACTTGTTCCAACAGGTATTTTCCCAACAGTGTTCCTCCCTCAGCAACCACAAACATTTTCGTATCTCTCCCTGTCAAGCTCACAGTCCCTTGATCAATCCAGTCCAGAATTCCCCCGAAATAACGAACCAAACGAAGCTCACAGTCTCCATAACACACGCGGATCTGCCCAACGTGTCCTGAACGTGTTTTCCCCTCTCCCCTTATTCCAGCCTGGGAGCACGTGAGTTTGTTTATCACGGCGGCCCACGAACTCGGCCACGCGCTCGGCCTCTACCACTCGGACGTCGAGGGGGCGCTCATGGGACCCTACCTCATCAAGTTCCCCGAGACCTTCCAGCTGCCCGAGGACGACGTCAGGGGTATCCAGGAGCTCTATGGTGAGTGCTTCTAGCTGTCTGTCTGTCTATTTATCTGTCTATGAAGCAATCAATCATTCTACCTGCATATAAGTCTGTGTCTATCTGTCAGTCAATCAGTTTTCAATTAGTTTACCTGTCTGCTTTCCTGTCTCTCAGTCTATCTGCCTGCCTATCTGTCTATCTATCCTTTTTATCCCTCTGTCTATCTGTCTGTCTCTATCTATCTATCTGTCCAACTATCCGTCTATTAAATATGTCGGTCTATCCATTATTTATCAATATATATATATCTATATGCATGCTATACATAGATATACATATACATATATCGATATATATATTCCCCCTCCCCCCCCATGCACAGGCCCGGACGAGAACTGGAACCAGGACAACTACCCCCAGCCCCCACCGGCCCCCCCTACCCCCAAACCCAAGGAACCCCCCACCGAACGCCCTACCAAGGAGACCCCCAAGAAGCCCATCCTGCCCCCTAAGAACACGGAGAAGCCTGACACGTGTGACACCGACTATGATGCCCTCTCTGTCATCCGGAGGGAGGTGTACATCTTCAAGGGGAAGGTGAGTGTCGTAAAGGGGGGTTTGTGCCAAAGGGGGAAGTGATTAAGGGGATTGTGTCAAAGGGGGAACTGATTAAGGGGATTGTCAAGGGGGAGATGAGTTTCAAAATGGGATTGCATCAAGGAAAGGGAGTGTCATAAGGGAGGGGTGTCTAGAAAGTGAGTTTCATAGGGATTGTGAAGAAAAAAGTGAGTGTCAGAAGAGCAGTAGCCTCAAGGGAAAGTTGATTGTCACAAATGGTTGTGTTTAGAGGAAGGTGAATGCCATGCAGTTGAATTTATCAAGAGGAAGATCAGTGTCATAAGGGAAGTAGCTTCTGGTAGGTGTTAGGTCCAGGGGAAGGTGAATGCACCAGGATAAAAGTGTGTCATGAGACTGATTGAAATAATGAGAGTGTCAAGGGAAGGTGCATTTCATAAGGGTGAGAGTGTCAAGGGAAGGTGCATTTCATAAGGGTGAGAGTGTCAAGGGCTACATGAGCTTCATAGGGATGATTAAGTCAAAAGGGAAGGGATGTGTCATAAGAGTGATTCCAACAAGGGAAGGTGAGAGTGAAGATGGTCAATGCATCAAGTGGATTGTGTCATAAGGATGATTTCATTAGGGAGAAGAGTGTTGTAAGAGTGTCTGCATCGAAAAGGAGGTTATAGTGTCGTAAGGTAAATCCATCAGAGGGTAGATGAGTGTCTTAAGGTGATTCCATCAAGGGAAGGGGAATTTCAATAGGGTTGTTGCTTCATAGAAAAAGTGTGTGTCTTAAGGGTGATTGTGGGAAGGGTCACTTCTTTCATTCCTTGTAAGATAATACATGGAGATTTTTATAAGATTTATATGTAGAAACTTGAGTTTGATGAAATGAATACCCAATTATTGAGTATGGGATCTTGAATTCTGTTCTGATTATTTTCAGTACTTCTGGCGATTGGATCCCTCTGGAAAGCTGCGTCCCAACTACCCAGCTGAAATCTCTCGATTCTGGGCCATTCTCCCGAAAAATATCACGAAAGTTGATGCTGTCTATGAAAGGCCAGATACAAACATTGTCTTCTTCATTGGTATGTAATATTTGAAGAGCTTTTTGAGATAATTTTAAAGGTATTTCAAGTACTATATCTCTTGTATAAAGAATAAGATTATTGTATGTTGAATTATTGTCATGTTTTGAGGATTAGAAAATAATGTTACTGTATTATCTCAAGTCTTCTTAAATTGTATAGATATTCTTTAGACATTTATAAAACCTTTTTTTACAAATGGAAAACTTGAGTTTCAAACTTATTACTGTTTGAAGCGTATTCATTTTGACAAATGTGGAAAGGTATGAATATCTTCACAATACAAGAGATGTATTTGACCGGTTTTGAATATATCTTCGTCAGAAATACAAACTCATATTACTGTTTATCAAGTTACACTCCATCCAGTGCATAACATCATGTTTATTATCAAACTCATTACCAATTATCAAGTGATATTTATTACTCAGTATTTAATATCCAACCATTATTCCCTGTCTGTTTTTTCATCCAGTACTTACCATCAAGCCATTGTTTTGTGTCAGTTCCTCACCTTTTCATTCAGTGTTAAGTAATATTTATCACTCATTACTTCCTGTACTTATCAACAGACCATTGTTCACTATCAGACAATCACTTTTTTTCCAGTGTTTAATATTATTGTTCTCTTTTAGGCAATCGCTACTATGTTTGCCAAGGAAACCAGCAGCTGCTCAAGACTGGGCTTCTCAAACACCTAGGGCTGCCTGAAGACCTCGAGAAAGTGGATGCTGCTTTTGTCTGGGGACATAATGGAAGAACCTACTTCTTCGCTGATACAATGTACTGGAGGTATGGGAAGTTTAATTTATATGTTGTGAAACTTCTGTGAGTGTCCAAGATTTATGGTCCAATGGATGTGAATTTTTCCTTTATGTATATAGAGATCTTTTTACTACAGTCTGTTTGTTTTTGTAAGGTTCATGGTTTTTAGAAATGCTGGCATAGTTTGATATGACTTTGGATATACTTGTTAAAAGGTGTTCGGAAGTAGTTTCAGTGCCAGAAAATTCACATGAAATTTTGTTTACTTGTTGAACTGTGTTTTACATTGATAAACAATTGTCTCTGGGTACATGTATTGGCCAGTATAATTGTTTTGTGAATTTTGTTTACACACAAAAGTTTAGTCATGAAAGAATCAATAAGTAGGCTGCCCGACCTTACCTAATTACTCTATTCTAAATGATAAAGGCGTTATAACTTTTGTTGTTATTGGCATTATGGTTGTAATGCCAATAAAAAAACATCTTAATAAGAATCAAAGAAGAGTAAAAAAGTACAATCAGGTGTGTCTTGTAATACAATCCTTGGTGACAAAGTGCTCATGGAGCCATTTTTATAGAAACAACTTTAATAAAGTAAGATCTCAGTGAGTTCAGTATGTATGCTACATACCCTCCTGGAATTGTTATATTGATGAATGCCATATGTTTTACATGTTTTTCCCTTTACTCTTCAGTTTTATAAATAATTATTACTGATCCAAATTTTTGCTCTCTTCCATCATTAGGTTTGATGAATATGTGAAAAATGTAGAGCTTGATTATCCAAGGGACATGGTCATGTGGAGCGGTGTCCCATACAACATTGACTCGGCCTTTAAATATAATGGTAAGTGCTTGGGGTTTTACGTTCTGCTAGCCTGTGGGTGAAACTATAATGATTTTGAATGATTTTGACAGAGGAGTATATATGTTTGAATATTTGGTTTACCTGAATTACACCATAAAATCCCAGTGTTTAGTCAAAAAGACTTCTATAATTCATTAAGATGTAGATTTGTGTTCTTATCATTTAGATGTATATTTATATAAGATATGTATCCAAGATTTATGCAGCACACCTTTTTCTTCATCTTTCTCCAGGAACCACCTACTTCTTCAAAGGCAAAGTATTCTGGGAATTTGATGACCTACGTATGAAGGTGAAACCGAAGTCACCTGCCCTTTCAGCACCCTATTGGCTTGGCTGTCCCAACAACATCGAAAACCCGTCCTATGGCAAGGCATCCGTAACGGACACCTCTGGTAGTGGCAGCAGCAGCGGATTTTTGACCTCCCTGCTGCCATTTGTGGTCGCTATTGCTGTTGTCGTGCGGGCCGAGTCCCTCACGGCATCATGGAGGTTTAGGCTGTGAAGTGCTCAAGGGAGGGAGGGAAGTGCGAGGGGAGTGAGGGGGGAGCCCCAAAGAGTTCTCATGGGATTTTTTTTTTTTTTTCTAATGTTTTTTCATTCATTTTTATCTGTTTTTTTCTCTTTGCATTCTTATTTTTTAATACCCCATCTTTTAGAATTTCCTTTTCTAGGATTTTTTTATGCATATATACAGCATGGTAATATGTTTATGTATTTCAGGAATTAGTTGTTCAACTAAAGCTGAGAAATGTGTGTGGAATAAATGTATGTCAGTTCATGGACCATTATGATATCTATTATAATCTCAGAACATGTTGAACATGCCTGAAGTAGGTTGTTTTTTCTATTTTAGACACATTTTATAGGAACACTTTTGGGGGAAAATATTTATTGATGAGGGATTTTCCTTTTCTGTGTATGATGTCAGTGATTTCTGTCTTTTTTTTTTTTATTCTCTCTCTGCATCATTTTACTTTTTTAATGCGTATAGTGCGATCATTAGGAACATTAAATTCTATAAGGGGTGTTTGATGTGATAGCTCATAGATTGAGCTCAGGTAATATCTTTTAATATCTATGATACTGTAAGAATATAGTGGGATGTGTTTCGAATACTTGGTTTCTGTATGAATGCTTGGAAATGTTTTTTTGTGAAAGATGGTACTTTTGATTTTTTTCTACACATTTGTATGATGAAATAAAAGGATATTTAAGAAATTGTTCTGTTCTGTATCAGTCTAATAAAGGAGATAATTTAGAAGTATCATCTGTTTGTGTATTTGATGAACCATTTCTCTGTTATTTTAGTGGGGGAAAATTCTAAAACTGGAATACACAGTGCCAGTTGGAATGTAAGATTTAAGTTTTGTCTTATTTTTTATCATAATGCAAACAACTGCCATTATACTGTAGTCTTTGTGCTGACGTATTATTGGGTTGGGGTAAAGCTGTAAGTACTTCCATTACGCATCTGCATTTCTTGTTTTTTATACCTTAAGAGTATTTGTTTTAATTATACACAACTAATTTTCTAGAAATAAATTGTGGAAACATTAGCTTCAATCTGATTACTGTATTGTTTTGGACTGTAACTTTATCATTGTTTTTGCAATATTTTGATTTTTTTTGTTTAGCAATTTCTTTATGATTTATTTGTACATCTTTGGACTCCCTGTTAGTTATAACTGACAAACAAATATGATAAGAAATGCAAATGTGTTTTAATGCAAAGTATTTGATGTAAAGGATCATTTTATCTGTCACCCATTTGTGTCTGAATTTTTTTTCTTTTTTTTTTTCTTTCTTTAGTCTTTTGTGACATCTCATTTCCTTTGTCTTTTTGAGACAAGCTGTATATTTTTGTAATCTTTCAAACTGATATTTTTCTCCTTTTTTGTTTCTTGAGGTTACTGATCATTGGTTACTGAAATGAGCTTCGGATAGAATTCTCCTGATGTGTAATGACTAGGAACGGAAACAGTTAGAGAAGAGACCAATATTGCATTTGTGACTCTTTATTATGATATTGCAGTGAGGCAATACAGAATTTAGAATCTACTGGTTTAGATCTCCCGTTTGGAAATGAACTTCTCCGTTATTTAATGCAAAAACACTCACATTACAGAAGTTTTTGCAAAATAAGTGAAAGATTAGGAGAGATTATTGTTACATAATATTAGTATCGTAGAGGCTATTCCACTGAACTTATCACTGCTGTACTGCTAGTCATGGTTAACTTATAAACCCAGGCTCTGGTCTATCTTATAGAATGGAAACTAGAAGTAACACTTGGCATGTTCAATCACATTCTATTGATATGAGAAAAGAGCTACTGTTCTGGAAATAGTAGGAACTTAAACGCCTGTAAACTTAATAAATACCATAGTATCAGTTTTCACATTTTACCACTTGCTAGGTGTATGTATGTGTCAACAAATCAACAAATACACTGGCTTTTATTTGTAATTTGAATAATTTTACTGAACACACATGTCTGTATATTGTTGAAGGTAAAATTAAGTGGGTGCTGTCATTTTAAGATAAAAACTGTTTTAGTGATGAAAAACTTGGAAGTGTACAATAGGATATGTATGCTATGAATTTATAAAAGAATTGGAACATATGAACAAACTTCAATGTAGTTCAGTGTTCAGTTATAAAACACAGAAAGCT